TTTTAAAGATGACACTACCTTCAGAAATGAAAAAATTGTAAAAAAAAGTAAAGGTTGGATGAGCAGACATATTATTTTTAAATTCTCTATATAGTGTAGACCATGTTCCTTGCTTTATTGACAGAATTGGAGGCAACCCCCCCTTAAAGTCCAAAGTTTTGAAGGAGTGGACTATTTAAATACTATTTTCCACAATGAGGTGCTGTTAGGACTCTATTTATTTATTTAGAAAGGTTCTCATGTATCCAGGCTGACATGAAAGTTGCTATGTAGCCAAAAATGACCTTGAACCTTTGATCCCACTGTTTCTACTTTCCCATTGTATTTCTGGGATTCTAGACATGCGCCTAGTTTATATAGTGCGGGGGTTCAAACCTAGAGCTTCATGCATGTTAGGCAAGCTATGTCCACAGCATCTACTCATACTTTTTATTAGGGTGATCTGTTAGGCCCTTTTGAGGGTCTTTAAATGATTAATATAGGGTGGGGTATAAAAAAATACTGGGAGGTAGGTATCTTTATTACTGACAACCCCATATCTCTCATTCTGTAGGTTCTACATTTCATATCCCGAAGCAGTGTTCCTGCTTTCTGCCAGAACATGTATAGAAACACCCAGACCTGAGGTCTGGAAAATGGCTCTGTGGGAAAGAGCATTTGCTCTACATATATAAGGACCTGCGTTTGGATCCCCAGCACCCACAAGTAGCATGCCTGTAACCTAGCATTGTGGAGTGGAGACAGGTGAACCCCAAAGGCATAGATGAATTGGCTATGGCCTATTCATGCATGGGCATAGACACATGCACCTACATATTCACATGCATGTAACCTCCCCACCCAAGAAATGTCCAACCCTTTACATCCTTGGCCTGTGGGATAAAGCATCAGGAAGAACTTTGTCTCCAGTGCTCCATGCTGGTTCAGTTTCAATCGTCCAATGTCTGCCGGACATTGGATTTACTTGTGTGGCCCTAACACCTGCAGGTCCAAATATTACCTGCTTCTTTTTCTCCCTTCTTCCTTCCCATCCCTTCTTCCTTGCCATCCTCCCTCCTTCTCCATCCTCCTCCTTCCTATCCTCCTCCTTCCTCACCTTCTTCCTGCCCATCCTTCCTCCTTCCCATCCTCCTCCTTCCTCGCCTTCTTTCCCAGCCTCCCTCGTTCCCCATCCTCCTCCTTTCCCATCCTCCTCCTCTTCTTCCCATCCCTCCTCCTTCCCCATCTTCTTCCTTCCCATCCCCCTCCTTCCCCATCCCTTCTTCCTTCCCATCCCTCCTCCTTCCTCACCTTCTTCCTTCCCCGTCCTCCCTCCTTCATCACCATTTTCCTTCCCATCCCTCCTCCTTCATCACCCTTTTCCTTCCCTA